CACTATATTCACTGTGACCAATGTAAAAAAAAAAAAAAAAAAAAAAAAAAAAAAAATCTCATTCATACTTTTTCTGCTTTCATCACTAGTGAACCGTATTCATGTTGACAAATGTAGAATGGTATGAAAGAGCATGAATATCTTCACAATACAAGAGATATATCTGACCGGTTTCAAATATATCTTCGTCAGAAACACACGAATATATGAATAAATTCGAAACCGGTCAAATACATCTCTCGTATTGTGAAAATATGCATTTTCATGTATTTTTGACGAAGATTTATCCGAAGCCATTCGAACACATCTCTTGTATTGTGAATATCTTTAATTTCCATACCTTTAATTCTTTAATATTTTCCAAGATCCTAATTTTTATCACCATTATCATTGCTATTATTTTCACTGTTATTATGACATGATCCTTAATTTTTATCATCATTATCATTGCTATTATTTTCACTGTTATTATGATCAGCATAATTTCATATTTTTTTAATCATACCTCTTCTCCTTTCATCATTAGTATTATTCCCATAGTTTCCCCGCCTTGAATAACGACCACCCACAACAACGACCACAAACATCACCCCACCTGAAGATGTCATTGCTGCCACCAGGTAGAGTTAATTAAGGTGAGATCTGAGAGCCAAAGTGAACTGATTCCTGTCATGGATTCCAATTTCTTTCATCACGATTCCACTCCCGGGAGGGCAATTAACGCCTCTTCTTCTTCTTCTTCTCTGTCTCTCTCTTTGTCTCTTCTTTTTCTTTCTTTCTCTCTCTTTGTCTCTTCTCTCTCTCTCTCAACGTATCGATATCTCTCTCTCTTTGTTTCTTCTTCTTCTTCTCTTTCTCTCTCTCTCTTTGTTTCTTCTTTTTCTTTCTTTTTCTCTTTTTTTCTTCTCTTCTCTTCTCTCTCCCTCAACGTCTCGACATCTCTCTCTCTCTCTCTTTGTCTCATCTTCTCTTTCTCTCTCTTTGTCTCTTCTTCTTCTCTTTATCTCTTCTTCTTTTCTTTCTCTCTCTCTCTCTTTGTCTCTTCTTCTCTTTCACACTCTGTCTCTGTCTCTTCTTCTTCTCTTTCTCTCTCTCTTTGTCTCTTTTTCTTTTTCTTTTTCTTCTTCTCTCTCTCTCAACATCTCGACATCTCTCTCTTTGTATCTTCTTATTCTCTTTCTCTTTGTCTCTTCTTCTCTTTCTCTCTCTCTCTCTCTTTGTATCTTCTTTTTCTTCTTCTTCTCTCTCTCTTCTCTCTCTCTCTCTCTCTCTCTCTCTCTCTCTCTTCTCTCTCTCTCTCTCAAAACGTCCTCGAAATCTCTCTTTCTTGTCTCTTCTTTTCTCTTTCTCTCTCTTGTCTCTTGTTCTCTTCTCTTTTCTCTCTCTTCTATCTCTCTCTCACTTCTCTCTCTCTCTTTTTGTCTGTTCTCTCCTCTCCCCCCTTCTTCTCCTCTCTCTCCTCTCCTTCTCTCTCTCTCCCTCTCTCTCCTCTCCTCTCCCTCTCCTCCTCTCTCTCTCTCTCTCTCTCTCTCTCTCTCTCTCTCTCTCTCTCTCTCTCTCTCTCTCTCCCTCTCTCTCTCTCTCTCTCTCTCTCTCTCCTCTCTCTCTCTCTTCTCTCTCTTCTTCTCTCCTCTCTCTCTCTCCTCTTACAGCGCGCGCCTGTGTGTGTGTGTGTTTGTGTATGTATATAATGTGTGTATCTTTCTTCCTTTACCTGAATCTTCTCTCTGCTTCTCTGTTTACACACACACAAACACACACATAAACACAACCTACCATACGCCCATTACACATTCACGAACACACACCTAAGTATATGTCAAAAATTGTAAACACACAATTAGCAGATGACTTGCTATTTCTCAGACGCCTTACTTTTACTATTCTGTACAGGAAGGCCGGTTGAGTGATGGATCGAAAGGCCCAAACTTTCTCCATTAACGAATGCTTACGTGATTTTTTTTTAATAAGGGGATATTAGGCTTGGGCTGTAGGCAGAAGCGTAAGGCTTGTGTCGGGTTAGGTTTGTATACGTAGATTATGTACATGCATACTTACATATACTTATATATTATATAATATGTAATATATATAATGTTATATATGATAATATATATATATATATATTATATATAAATAATATTAATATATATTACGTAATATTAATATTAATATATTAATATATATATATAAAATATATACTACTATGTATATTATATAAATATAAGATTAATATTATATATAATTATTAAGTATAAAATTAAATAATATATATATAAATATAATTAGTATAATAGTACTAATAGATATATAATAAATAATATTATACTATAATATATATTGTATATATATAATTTATATATTATATATATATATATATATATCTAGTATATATACTATATATCTCCAAACCACATCACACACACCACAACATTCACACAGGTCTACACCACATATATATATATCTATAATATAATATATATAATATATTATATATATATTTATTATATATATTAAATGTATTGTGTGTGTGTGTGTGTGTGTGTGTGTGGTGTGTGTGTTGTGTGTGTGTGTGTGTGTGGTGTGTGTGTGTGTGTGTTGCTTGTGTGTGTGGTGTGTGTGTTTTGTTTTATGTATGATTTATAATATATAATATGTATATTTGTTAGTATAATCTATCTATTTATTATTATTATCTATTCAATCTTATCTATATATTCCATTACCTATCTATCATCTATAATATCTATCTAACTATCTATCTATTTATTTATTCTATATATTTATACTACAAGCCATCTTGATATATATAAGGGTTAAACTTTACATAGCTGAAAATTTCCGAATTTATGTTTAGACGCAATTTAATTTGTATTTAACAAATAAATTTCGATCTACGCTACAACCGAGTGAACTTTTTCGAGCTTTTTTTCTATTTGGTGTTATTTTATGCACTTATTGCTCACGACCACTTCACATCCTCCTCCTCATCTTATCATCTAATCATATGCCGTATCTAGATTCTGTCTTCACCTCCTCCTCTTCTTCTGTCTCTAATCTTCTTTCTCTCTCTCATGCTCTCCTCCACTTTTCTCTCATCCGTTGCTCCATCAGTCCTCTCAACACACCACACACGACACAGTGATTTCGCATCACATCTTACTTACCATCTAATATATCTTACTGCCATTATCTGTCATATTATACTCAAATCTCTCATCTTCATAATATATTATCAATATATACCTATTATATTTATTCTCTCTAATCTATATATATACTCTCTCTTCATCTCTCATCTATTACTTCGCATAATAATAATATCATATTGTATTTATAACATTATTATATTAACCTTCGTATCTCTCTTTACATCTCATCTATCTGTCCCTATATATTATATACTTACTAATGTATCGTCTCCTCTATATGTATCTCTTTCATCTCTCTCTCCTTTCTCTCTACTCTCTCCCTCTCTTTTTTTTCCCTTTTAATTATATTATTATTATATATATGTACTATATATATATATATATATATATATGTATTTATATATATTATTTACATATGTATATTTATATATATTAAATATAATAATATATCTACTATATATATTATATATATTATTATAATTGTTATATATTATTATATATGTATTTTGGTTATAGTATTAATTATCTTTCTTTCTTAAATCAAAAATATAACTCACATTGTGACAAAGGATACCTTACTCACTATTACTCTGTAGAGTAGTCATAGAATAGATAACGATAGATAGATAGGATAGATAGATGGTAGGTTTAGATAGGTAGGTATGATAAAGTAGATCTTATATTGGGATACATAAGGGATAGATAGATAGGCAGGGAATACAACACATAGATATATAGACTATAACACTACATAATATGATACACAGAAGTTCGTATACTGAGCCACCCTCTGAACAGTGCAACATAGTTATATCCTATATCACATCAGTGCTTCTGTGTGAAGTATCGATTCTGACAGTATGCTTTACCACCACTCAGTTCGATGGTTAGGTTGTTAGGGATCTTCCGATCTTGATTCTCGTTTACTTCTCATCTACAAGTCATGACATTTCTCTCACCTTTCCTTTCACAGTTATCCTGTCGGGCTGATGCCCTGCCATCTCTCTCTCTCTTCCCTCCCCCTCACGTCGCTTTTCATTCTCATATACATCGACCCCCGTCCTGTGGATCCGTCACATTTTCGTCTTTTCTCTTCCTTCTTCCTCTGCTTTCTCCGTTTCTATCTCTCCGTTCATGCTCTCGCCCACGCTCATCACTCTTCTCTCCACTCTCTCTCTCTTTTAAATAGTGGACGCTGTTTCTTCGCTCTGCAACCTCCTCTTTCCCCTCTTTGCAGAAACGAAAGAAGATTGTTCTTTGTGTAGAACTTGTCTCGTGATATTGCATTTGCAGTGACAGGAAGGTGTTAGTAATATATAATAAATCATAAAGTTGTACCTGAGTATGAGATATTGATAATAAGAATATGAAAAATTAAAAAAAAAAGTGACGAGAATATTCATTATAAGAATAGTGATAATAACAAAATCGACAATAGTTTTAACGTTTAACTGCCACCACATTTTACAGCAAAATTAATTGAGTTCTGGTCCGCAGTCATATGGAACATGCCCCAAGGTACATCAAAGTGAAGAGAACCTTATGTCATGGAATATGACTTCAGGCGTTAAGTGTGTTACGTACGAGCTGGCGGATGAAACTCAGCCGGTGATAAATATATGACGGTACTAGCTAAGAGTCTCGTTCCCTGATAACTGCCTTATATACCTGCAAAAAAACGAAGAAAACGTAGGTACAAGAAAAGCAGGTAACCATGTCGCTACAGGTTGTTATTCACTTTATTTCCAGGTAGCTGTGAAGGGGCCTGCGTGACGTCATGGGAGTCATTAGCCTGCTCTGTCGTTATATAATTTAAGATGGTATAATGATGTTATATAGAAAAAAATA